CGCCGCATATGGTAGAATAATAACGCTAACCGTTTGAAATCTCTTGCCGAGAGGTTTCCTTGCACCTCATCGCGCTGAGGTGCGATATCAGCCGCAGAGACAGCGCGATATTATCATTATTCATGCAATTTTAAACAGCAAAAATTTCGTATTTCAGTGATGAAAAGCAAATGAATAAATTACACAGAGAGTTTTTCCAAAGGAAAACGGTCATGAAATTCAATTCCGGAAAAGAACCAAAAGCTGAAGCAATACGAGATGCAAAGAAGTGTTTGTTTATCAATATATTTTTTTCTGGAATTCAAAATCGAGGAGAAGGCACGAGACATGATAACAAGAAAAGTCTGCTAAAATTAATTAGCATTTTAAGATTTAGTGATGAAGAGAGCTAAATAGTCCAATGTAGGTCAAATGGATGAGCCAAAGTAGGTCAATTGAGTAGATCACTGATAAAAGGTGGAAATATGTCACATTGCTGATATGGAAGAGAACAGCGCAGATCATCATAAACTGAAAATGTCTTATTTGTACAGCTTCCAACAAGAGGCCTCAGGCTCAACAAGCATACGTGGAAATTTCATCACTTCTCCAGATATTTTATTATTTGACTTTAATGGGAGTATCTTGAGGATTGAAAAAGTACATTTAAATACATGCAAAGGTACTGTAGTAATGCGCAAAATTTTCTTTTCTAGCTTAATCTGTGCTTTTCATCGTGATACAAAGAAATTATGATTATTTGAAAGTAATGTGAAAGAATTTTCAAATCCTACTTGATATGTTGATGTCCAAATTTTGGCAAAAGGTACTTGATCCCGCATTTCTTCACTTTGTGCAATTTCTGAAAATTTGTCGCTTATATAGCCTTTTAAATGATTGCATAGTTCTCAATAAACTGAGAATTTTTTTGGTGTTTGAAATGATATAGACACATTGATAATATTGCGCTGTCCCTGAGGCTGATATCGCAGCTCAGCGCGACGAGGTGTGAGGAAAACTTTCAGCAAGAGATTTCAGACGGCTAGCGTAATTATTCTACCATATGCGGCGGCGCTGACGCCGTACCACTTGCTACGCACCCCTACCTACTGAGCTTTATCGATTGGGTAAGCCGAACGCAGCGCGAGCTAGGTTAGCTAAGTAGTGTTTCCCACATGGCATTTTTGGCGCATTGCGTTCCTTAATGCTTATGTGCTTGATCCTGGTTTTCTTGATATATACATTAGAAAAAGCTTGACAGCAGAGAAGAGAGCAAGAAATGACGTGCTAAGGCAACCTGCTCGTGAGCGCAGTAAGAGTAGCGCTACCAAACGGTGGGTGGTATACCAGAATGGAGTGGCCCGTGCTTCACAGCTTCCACGCAGGCACTTGAATAACAAGTGAACGCGCATGACAATGGTGGAGCAATGAAAATTTTTTTGCTCGAGGCGCGAAGCCTCGAAAACAAGTTGGATTTTTTTGCAGTTTTTTATCCACGAAAATAAACCAGATTTACTACTTGTGGCTAAATCTTGGTTGAACGCAAAGAATCTTGATTCTGAATTAACTGGAAATTTGCCCTTCGCTTTGTTCAGAATTGGCAGATATAATTGCAGGGATGAAGGCGTTTGTTGCTTTGTAAAAGGACTACTGCTCTTCAGCTGCATTGAGCACAACAAATGTCTTGCTCTGAGACCTATGATGCAGTGGCGTACCCAGGATTTCGGCTCGGGGGGGGGGGGGGTGCGGCAAAAATTTTTTTCAAATGAAGGTGCGTTAGCCACGCACTCCGGGGTTAGCCACGCACTCCGAAAAAATTTTAGGGGGGCTTCTCAAAATTTTTGCGGGCCCCCACCCCTAAAATCTGGAAAAAGGGGGCATGGCGTCAGCCACGTCCCCGAAAAAAATTTTTTTATAAGGCTAATTTGAATTTTTAAAAAATTTTAAAAATTATTTTAATTGTTTACAAAAATAAACAAGTCACTTGCACATTTTTATCTCATGTAAGTAACTTTCAAAAATTTCGCGACCCGTTCTCGGGGGGGGGGGTGGGGGCGCCCCTCCCCTCGGTACGCCATTGCTATGATGGAATCTCACAGATTGTTCAAAAAATGTGCCCCATCTCTGTGTACACCTCTTGCCCACATTTTCAACATATCCATATTGTTGGGGGAGGTACCGCAGATTTGGAAAGAGTCACTGATTACCACAATTCCAAAAGTGCCTAACGCCCGTCAACTGGCAGACTTCCGCCCTATTAGCTTGATTCCAACGGCTGTGAAAGTTATAAAAAAGGTTTTGCCCGATAGACTGCTCTCATGGCTTGCTAAGATCAAAGTGATCCCAACTAATCAGAACGGCTTTATGGCAGGTTCATCAACTGCCACAAACCTTGTTGATTCTACTTACGACTGAAATTTAGCCCTCAACAGAGGTAAGTTTGTGGATGTTATCTATGTACACCTGTCCAAGGCATTTGATAAGGTCGATCACGCAATACCTTTACAAAAGTTAGAGCGACTCGGATTAGGAGGTAATCTCTTGAAATAGCTTAGATCCTATTTGAGTAACAGAGGCATGACGGTGAGAGTGGGATATCACATCTCGGATCGACATGCATGCGTGAGTGGTGTTCCACAAGGTGGCGTCCTTTCTCCGTAACTTTTCTTGATTTATACCGCCGAGGTTGATAGGCTTCTTGACAGGCCCGCATTTCCGCCGTCCTGCTCCTGGTGGTTTCTTCCTCTACATTATGCAATTCTTCCTTCTCGTTATGCGTGAGCGTCCCGTATCCCCTACATTAGGTTTGAACGATCCGTCCCACGTCCTCCTTCATGTAACTGTCAGAGACAGTTTTTGGCATTAATTAGCCTCGGTCTGTGGGTCTCGTGGGTTTCATGGTGACGTTTTGTCCAAGCGCATTTGGATACATCATACAATCATTTTCTTGTGCATCTCTCACCGCAATTAGGATCTCGCACCACTCATGGGCCAGAGAGAATTGGTGCATTCAGTGGCTCAACTCTCTCAACTCGTCTAAATGCTTGGCTCTTACGTCCTTCAGCTTCACATGTAATTGACTGACTCCTTGACTGTGTACGTTATCACCCAGCGGTTCCCTTTAGCTCGATGTACTCCAGCTTCGCTTGCGTTAGACGATCTTCGAAGTCGTAGCATTTGTCGCCAAAATTCCTGATCTCTGCTGTACCTGTGCCACTGCGTTTCGTCGGTGATTGTTCGACGATAGTCACTTTTCTCTCAATTTCCTCACGAGGTCTTTTTTTTCAGTTCTCTGAAGAAAGCTGCCATTTTCCTGTTTAAAAAACATTAGTGGCAAACAACCCTGGGTTCAGCTCTTCCCCTGTGTCCTTTCGCGTCGTGAATCTCGACCTGGAAAGCCGTGCATTCAATCTGCAAAGGAAGCGTCAAACATGCAATCGACACGTCACCACCGTGCCTTCCGGCCTCAGCAGACGAAGATGGATTTTGTCTGAGCTTCTGTGACCCCAAGTTTTATTATCTATCCTTGGCTTATGTCTCTATCTGCCGGTGATGACTATTTAGGGTATTCGAGGGCTTATCATCGATTATCATCTCTGTGAAGGCATGCGTAGTATCTTCAGGGGCGTTCGGCTATGTTTTGCTTTCGCCGATGTAGAGCTGGCTGTTATTCGTACTGGTATTTGTCACAGTCTCTAAAGCTATGAGTAATCACAGTCTCTAAAGCTCATATAATAATAAGTCTCCAATATCCTATTTATAGAACATAGCATTTACAACATTTTTGTTCCTTTTACTTGCTTCATCTACAAGCATAGTATTCTGATTGCTTGCCTGCTCTAATCATTCCCACAGTGTCTTCAATTCTTCTGCTTTACTTACAGACAAGGCATTTTAGATCTTTTTTTGTTTGCTAAAATCACACTATTTTGCATCTTTCACGCCCAATTTGGTTGCACGCTCTGTAGTTGGTCTAGGATTAGCTTTTAGATTTATTTCTTGGTAATTCATCGTTACCGCATTATTGTTTACTAGCTGTTAGTAATAAAGGTTCAATTACCCAAGCTCGAGTTTGCTCAACCGTGCGTGTGTGCGTATAAGTCCCGCTTGGTGACGCTTTCGAGTTCACAGTCACCGAAATCGAATTTGAAGTCCAACTCTAAGAAGTAGAGTAGCCCTTAACATGTTGTCGATTTTTTTCGTGCGCTGTTGTACACTATTTTGATGTTGATGCTAATTTTACGAGTAGAGCCACTCCTTTCACATAAACGCCTAACAGATAAAATTTGGTTTTTCCAAGATCCATGTACTCATATACACTACTGCTCCCTACTTTTTACTAACAAGGGGAAGATGGTTAGTCGAGGTGACCTATCAAGATGAACTGTACATTGCCTTGAAGGGGCAGTGATTCCAAATCTGTTTTCCTTATCTGCTGCTAGTTTCTGTGCCAGTAGTTATGAGGCTCTCGTAAGCAAAAATATTCTATGACTGGTGTAAATAGTCTTTACCTCTTCCTGGCATTAAAATGAGGCAGAGGCGATTGGATTTATTTGAATTGAAAAATTACTGCACAGAGTCACTTGAAAATCATTCAAGCCCTAAGGAGAATGCGATGATTAGTTTTATCCTACTGCGCATTCAATTTCGCTTCCAAAACTCACAACTTCTAACCTACAAACGTAGTAGATAAGAAAGACAAGTTTGGAATTGGCGAACCGTACTCTCCAACGCAGTATACATTTCATTTCGAAAGGCTACTGCAACTAACCGTCCTTTTCTAGTAAATATTCTTCTCTTGTGAACACTAGATACCATTTTGACTTAGGATGTGTTGACTAACTTTCTTGGCGCTTCGCCTCTAATCTGCACAGTTTTCCCTTCCTATTGCGCAACGTTCTGCTGTATCATGCACAACGTATCGACCCCTGCATACGGAAAGTGCAAAGGTTGTAGCTTAAATTCTGCCTTTCTTCTGCTGAAAATGAACTATAATTTTGAGGTTTTGAAGCCTTTATTGAGTGGGCACAAAGCATTTACACAGTATGGTATAGAATGGAGGCTTTATCAAATGCAAACGTTCGAGATGTTACAATTCATGCAATCCTGAACAACAAAGGCACGAAAATCCAGCAGATAAAGTTTGGCTCTAAACTTCCGTAAACGTTGAAGATCCAACTTTACCAGATTTGACCGAATCGACTGTAGATTCAAGCCAAAAGAACATCATAAGAAACCGTTATCTACACGTTTTTGCGTTGAATGCAAACAACAGAGGCATGCACTCGAGATCACAATCATCGTTCCTTCTCAGCTTTTACAGAAATCCCTCTCAGCTCTTTATCTCCTTCCACCGGTTTTTGCTTCAGTGATTCTGAGGTAATTGCGTCCGTCAATGAAATCTTCTTCGGGTTATCATCTATCTAAAATGATACAACTTTTACGATGAGTTCTGAAAGTGACAATCATAATCATTTTACTGCCAAGTGCTCCTGCGCCCACACAACAGAAAGGTAATCCTCAGCGTGAGCGGGTGTTTTTTGTTATACTTTTTTACATTCGTGAACTACTGTCGCAGAAAGCTTAGATTTGAAGGGAGTGTCTGGGCAAGAAGTCGATTTTGAGATTTTGCGTTTACTTCGGCCTATTCGCCATGCCAAATCCGAGATTCACGCTGGGGAGCGCGCAAACGCCAAAAAGGACTTTAAAGGCAGCGTCCAGGCAGAATCTCGACTTCTCTTTTTTTGCCTTATCCGAGCCTCTTCATGGTGCTGATTCCAAATATGGCAGTCGAAATGCGTAAACCTCAAAAACCCATTTCTCGCGAACTGCCCGCCCAGCGGCACAGATGGTTTGTGGTCAAACTGGACTTCGTTTTTGAAGTTAGAAGCAACGGGGATATCGTTTTTATAAAGTCCTGGGGGAAGCGCCGATTGAAGAAAACGGCGAACATGTCAGGTTATACGAGTTGAACGTGTTCTTTCGCAAGCGCGCGAATGTCAAACGCAAGACTCAAACAAACAAATGCTTGTTTACAGCGCAAAAACAATCACATGGGTCCGATTTTGCTATGTGCATACAATATTACTCCAAACTATGTTACGTAAAAAGTTACCAAAACTTATGTGTCCTAATATCCGTTCCGGATTTGTTGGTTTTTAGACCAACACCAAACCAACTGGGTTGGGGTTTGGAGCATAAATATCGGAGAGTTCACATAAGTTTTGGCTCTTTTTGATTTGGACGATTAGGGTCAAAAATCTATCATGTAGTGAAGAGAGCGAATCAAACTATTGCCTCTGCTCTTTTCTGAGCCAAGAGTAGTGTAAATCTATGCGTTGGTAGATATTGCGCTCCAATCGCACCTTATTTGACTATGCGGCGAAGAATGCGTCGCCAAATTGTTGAGGCCACAGATTCGATTGGCCTAGAAGGTTTTCGGCAATTTGAGCACTAAAATGGTACTCTACCCAATGACAGAGCCTTTAATCAACTCGAAATGTTTTTTTTTGTTTTTTGTTATATTAGGTACCTCAAAATGCGCTTTTTTCGCTTTTTTATTGTTATTTTTAATGAATAAGGGTTTCCCTACTGATTTTTTTGTCAAGAAGGTCTTCGTAAGTTTTCGCGAAGTCATGGGGGACTTCGCTTCCAAAAATGCTCCAAACCAACGCGTGCCGGGCCCTGGGCCTGCCTCCTTGGGCGAACTCTCCTCAGCCTTGACGTGTTTTCACGTGGCAAACAGGATGGAACACATAGTGTCTACCTGTTAATGCTTGCTTTCGACAAGGATTGCAGTAGAAGCACTCGTCCAGGCTTCTCACAAAACTGTCTCAAAAATGGGGGGGGGGGGTTGAGGAATTCATGCATTTCGACTGCCATATTCGGAATCAGCGCCAAGAAGAGGCTTGGATAAGGCAAAAAAGAGGTTGAGATTCTGCCTATACGCTGCCTTTAACGCAGGAGAGATCAGCAGATAGGAGGAGTCTTTTTCACCATGAATTCACGCTCCCAGCTTCCGAAGCGATTTTTTCGGCTCCAATTTCAAATCGCGCATTCGCCTGTAAAGATATCAGGGTGGCTAGCGGAGTTGAGGAGATCGCTCCGGAAGCTAGGAGCGTGTATTTACAATGGGTAAGACTCCACCCATCTGCTGATTTCCCTCCTGCGTTAGAGCCTTTTTCGCCGTTCGCGCGCTCTAGTGTGGGTTTTCGGATTCAGCATAGCGGATATGCCCGGGCACACTCAAAAGCGACTTTTTGCCCGGACACTGCCTTTAGGGCCTCCAGGAAGAACCCCGAATATACCAAAGCTAAGTTTTCAAAATTCTCTATAATTTTTCTTAATAAAAAAGAAGTGTAGCATTGAGCATATGCCAAAATATAAGGTTGTCTTAGTCTTTTCTGTACAGTTTTTTTTGAAATTCAAGAAACTTTTCTATCGGTAGGATTAAGATTGAAACCATCACATCAATAAATCCAGGTGCAAGCTGAACCCCCATCCAATTTTTTGTACATTGGGAAATGGTAGAGCACTTTTTAACTGTTGCGATTACAGCACATTTTTTTCTTGACGTACCTGCGCAACTGTATCGCCTTTGCAGCACCTCATGTACAACCTTGACAACAGCCAAATCAGAAGCAACGGCTTGTCGGTCATAATCGCTACCACAAAAATGATAGTGACTGCGATGCTAGCCTCAGGCTCGGGCAAACACCACAAGACGAGCAGCATTGCAATACCTGGACAGAAGATCAACTGCGGAGTGAAATTTATCAAAATTTTGTGGACTGTGCTGCCCATTAACTAATTGCTTTTCCTTCTCATACATCTCAAAAATTAATGAAGCAATCGACGCCGATAAGCTGTTGTAAGCTTGAAAATTTCTGTGAGATATAGCAAAATTGCCAGACAAAGGCTTTATGTGAATAGGGAGTTGGTGCTCATTGAAACAGACAGACCATACCAAAAAGCTTCTTTTTCTTCTTTTCTCTTTCCCCACTTTCTCCCTTATCCCCTTCTCTAGTGTCTCTTCTTCCTATCATATTCTAATCTTTCTGTATGTTTTCCCGAAGCCGCAAATGTCTTTCAGGTGGGAGAAGGAACTTTGAAAGGCTTTCTGAATATTTTGCAAACTTCTGGCATGGTTTTGTGAAAAAAAGGCGCGGAAATACCGCGTCCCAAGAAAACCTTTCAACAAGGTTAAATTGATTTCACTGAACTCCTTTCATAATAATTCCAATCAAAGTAAATTTGCGCAATTTCGTAACTCAAGTAGTTTACTTTTGAAAGAGAGAGTCTCTTAAGGGCGAAGAAAGGAAAGGGGCGTCTCTTTCCTTTTTCGTTCCCCTTTCCATTCGGCCACCCTCTCTGCATAGTGTCAATTTAGCAAGATACTCAAGAAAATGGAGTCCTAATCTAATGACGAAAATCAACCGTTCAAGAGCTCAAAATTCAGAAACTCAGTATTTTTTCTTGATTACTACTCAACTACTTCTGAAATACTATCTGAAACAAAAGCTAGTCTTACCTATATTCTGAATTCCTGTTTCTATAGCAATGGTGATGCAATCCTTCCACTCCTGTCTGAACAGCATTGCTATGATCAAAGCTGTTAGATAACTGCAAACATGTGCTTCGTAAATCACATTAAGGCATAATTCTGTAGACCAAACTTACCCTAGCCATGGTAAAGTACATCCACACAGAACTATTGGCCAAGTTATCAACCAGAAAATGTAGTAATTTGCATAAATGGCAAAACATGAGATCACGATCATAGCCGCCCATGATAACCTCTATAACAAAAAATTTTTTCGCTTATTTTCGTGACAGAGCTTCTAACCTTGATCCATTTGCTAATGGCTTCAATGTACTGTGGCCTATAGTGAGCCATGACCATACCACAGGCCGAGGGTACCATGAGACCTGCAAGTCCCTAAAAAGTACTCGACTTATTTCATTTTTTGTTCTTTGTCTTCTTGCTGATTCTTCTAGTTGTACTTGCCGATAATATGTTTCCAAATGGGATTTTCACATGTGCATCAGTGAAATGTTTCCCAGCAGTTGACATCCACAATGGCATCATTACTAGAATTTTTTTCAATATCTACAACCAAAACAAGGCTTGAAGCACATACCCAAAGCAGCAAGTGTTTGTGTGAAGGTCATCGAGATGGAGAGATCGAGGTTCCCGCTGAAGATGATGGTCCAAAAAGAGCTTTTTCCACCACCGGGACATGTCGACACGGAGAAAAGAGCCAGTTTGGTGGCGATGTCATCGGCTGGCAAGCCGTATTCGGCCAGTAGGAAGCCAAGCTGCAATATGAATTTTGTGGTTGAGCTGCATGAGAAATTAACACATTGACGACTACGCAGATTTTTAGTGTCTGCCTTTTGGGACCAAGGCCATTTACGGACCAGCCCGCATTTTTCAACTATAATTACGCATACTGCCATCTACAGTACACCTACAGTAGATCTGAAATGCTGAAAATAACGGTAGAGGTCATCCCTAGACTCAGCGCAGAAGAAAGCTCGTGGAGTGTGTTTATCAAAGTGTAGTAATTATTTCAACAAAATTCAGGCCTTGACACACATGGTGTGTCAAACGGTCCCACGCGGTAGTCATTGCTTGGCACACCATGTGTGTCAAGCGGTCGTCAATGAGTTAATAAGCTATCTTCCATTATATCAAGCAACACCAAAACAAAAACATCGTTACACTCAAAAAATAACTCAAATATTTTCGTTCAAGTCTCTTCCAGAAAATTACCGGCGAACTTCTCATGAGAGGCCAATTTTCAAAATCTCTTGAATCTTGGGTCAATTCTATACCAATCGCTAACTTCTGTCAGAAAAGCGCTTGAACTCCCAAACTAGATCAATGGCGTTACTATAGCAAACATTGCAAATTATGATCAATTAAAAATGAACACAAATGGCCTGTGCTGATTTGCCACGTTATTGCTCTACATCAAGTTCATACAAATAAAATAATGCTGGTTAGGTGCCTATCCCTCCTCTTACTATCCAGTTATGGGACTTTACAAATGAATTCAGAGTTGGGCTGAAGAAAAAGAGAAAAATTCACGTCACTTTTGTTGCTCTAGTAAGAAAGCTCTTGAAAACTGCATCAAAATCCGTAAACCGCGTACCGTTGGCATGAGTCCAAATTGGCAAAAGAATCCAACTGTTGGTCCGACTGGTTTGCGAACGATCCCCATTATTCGCTTCGGCTAAAAGTACATTCATCAACATACCTGAGTTAACATAACCACTTAAGACTAACCAAATTTATCTCATATAATTTTGTGCCATATTGTCATGGTAGTGTCTCTGACCCCTTCAAATGTAATTCTCAACCAAGCTGATGTTCCTTTGAAAGCAAGGAGCACTTTGATGTGCAAGGTTAAATTGCCATTTCCGTCAATGCCCTAGCGCGAAAGTTCACAACGTAAGCTGAGCAATTAAATAACTCGTTAGATTTGTTATTCAATCTAAAAAGGAACTAATACTTATAATGGAGAAACAGAACCACCTGTCGATATCCAACAATGAGGATAGCTGTGAAATAAATGGACCCACAAGGACTATTTTGATGAGGATCAGACCTCCACCCCATTAGAAGAAAATCACCCAAAACAATTTTATAATTAGGTGGAGACTTCGTCGTTGTGTTATGTGTAGGCAGCGTTTTCGATTTACAATCTTGAGCATTTTCCAATTCCACAAGGAGGAGTGATAATTCAATGGCAGAATGGCTTCTACAGTTGATTACAAAGCCTCCCTCCATGTCTCACAAACAATGTAATGAACTCACTAGCCGGGTTTGAACCGGAAGTTACAATCCTTATGGACTTTGCTATAAAACTGTTCCGTCAATACCGATGGGATTGATTCAGACCGGGTGGGTGGGTTTAACCATACGAAGCAAAAATAGTCGAAGTGTTCGAGGAAAGAGTAAGCAGAAATGGCTTAGATTTTTAAACATATGCGTCTAAGAAACTTTAAATGAAAGTAATTATTTGTAAAAACCATTTGTCACAGTAATAACAACGTACGTGAAGAAAACTTTTATTCTTAGCTGAGTTGCTCAATTAATCACCTTAAGACTTGTTTTTGTTATTCTTTAACTGAAATATTTTTATCACTGCAATTTTCACTACAATAAACTGAAACATCGGATCGTTCTTTCTCTAAAATTACTGGTAATAGTTTTCAAGCATTAAAAAGATGCAAACATGTGTTCGAACAAATTAAAGTAATTTATTTTAAATCATTTTCAATGATTTTCATATTCCAGGATTCCTAATTGCATCAGAATCATTTTGCAATCAAATAATATAATGAACAATTGTTAAAATGAACTTTGCAGATTTTTTGCCCTCCAATTTCATTGCAAAAGGAAGAACAGGTTTTGCAAGGAGTACCTAATCACTGTGTAAATGCAAGCAAACCATTAACCTTCTCTATATAATAAGGTGAAACTTCTTATTAGACCTATGCCCTCATTATCTTGAAATCACGAAAACGTCTGATTAGGGTATAAGGCCATAATCACGAGGCTGATTTTTAAGTAACTTATTATGTACCGTCCCACTATCAGAAAAGATTGTCCAGCCCGTTTACTCGCTCTTAAAGGCACGCTAATAATCTAATTTAGAAATCGAACAAGGATAATAAAAAAGTGCATGTGCTAACAAAGGAATCGGTACTATTAAAGGCGTCTATTTGCTCAAATTAATTGGTCGCACTGCCCTTTTTTACTGCATGCATTCGTATTTGAGTGCAAAAGTGAAGTGCTGATGTTGTTTTGAACGTTTTGAACGTTTTGAACGTCTGAGAATATATTTGACGACTGTGGAAAAGAAACGAGCGCGGCCATTTTGGCTTGATGTTTGTTTAACTTTATCTGAATTCCAGTGCTTATAATCCGTCTCAGGAATTTTTCTCCGGATTCGGAGACAGGTTCAAAATCAGCATCTTGATCGCCGGTTCTGGACATTATATTAGGTCAAAGCGTAGGTTTTGTTACATTTCCTTCGACTATCTTCCATAGCCCTAGAAGCTTCGACAAAGCCTCATACTTGGCACACATGAGTAAAGGACAAAGGGCTATTAATGGCATAACCTTCATCTTTAAGAACATGGGTTACATAACAGAACATATAGAGAACAGAACATTCAACATAACAACATATACTTTTTGGTACACTTCAGCTTTATTTCTTCTTTATTTTCTCACTCATCTCTTTTTTATTTCTAGATTTTTTAGGGTTCCTGGGAGTATCACTGGTATTACGAAAGCATTTTGGAAGTTCAAGTTCATCAGAAAAAGAAAACGGAAATGTGTTAAAAATGATACGAAGACTCTCGGAAAATAAGAATGAAAATTGTTCGTTTGTGATATGTAAATATCGAAAGACGACAATCCCCACGTAATTCAAAAGTGAGGAAGAAATTTTGAAGACGTTGTAGAATTTCTCCTTCAAATCAACATAATTTTTGTTATGACCCAATACCAGCCATACTTTGTTCGCTATTGAAGACAATGCTATGTGATAGTTCATATCGAAAAATGGCTTGTACAAAATCTGATAAGGAGAAAACAAAATCTTTTTAGTGATTTTTTGTAGTTTTTCGACAAAAAATCAAATTATTCAACTTCCAGTAAACCCTGCGCTATAATAAAAAGTGCTCCCCAATCGCTTTGAATCGTTCTGGTCGCAGATTGTAACCAGCACTTTAAGTTCTCCAAAACACATTAGAAAAAGAAAACAGTGGGTGCAAACAAGTTTCACTCACTTCCAGTTGAGTGCCCATCATGAACGAAATGATCACCACAAAGATTGCAATAAATATCGTGAAGTAGGACGTCACTATTTCATCCCGATTCGATCGGTGAAGGCGTAGAACATATGGCTCGACTGGCCTAAATATTGTGTTTCCAAAAGTATGAAAAAAATTGTGATAAGGAAGTGAATGTAGTATTTACTGACTCATTTCCAACGGTGATGTTGAGCTGTGTTACGCCTAGAAATAAAGCTTCGACTTCTATACGGAAGCTTGCTGAGTAGTTTTCATCCTTGATTAGGATGACTCGATCCGGATACGAAAGTATCTAAAATTAATGGTTTTGTTTCACAGCAAGTAAGGACTCTTATTTTTGATTTTGTGAGTCCAAAAGTAAAGATGACCTACTGCATTTTTTAGAAAACAATTTACCGGTTTCATTTTGAAGCAAGGACAGAGCCCTTATCTTTTTTATTTGGTATGTAAAGTAAAGGTGACCTATTTGCATTTCCCTTCAGAAAACAAAGTACTAAATTTCAGAAGACCTTGAGTTTAAAAACTTATTTTGTCCTATTCTCAAAACTAGTTTACAATGACATTTGCAATTGCAACTCTAGTGAAAGACATTTGATTTTCAAGAAACATTTAGATTACCGAGTAAGTTGTCTATATTTTAGCAGTAAAATGATGTCAAAGCATCAATCACAACAGTTTCCGTCAAGAAAAGTTGAATGATTGTTTCCATCAACTAGTTCTGGGAGAGTTAAAAGTAGTTAAGAGTCTAATTTAAAACAACAATTTTCCCTAATGTTCTTCCTGTTTAGAAATTGTTCAGAACAAGAACACCGTCATTCATTTGCTACATACTTAGTTTGCTTCAAACACAATTCTTAGCCTCCTCTCTGTCCCTCCCCCCTCCCTCCCTTCCTCCAAGAATTTCTAATATGCGAGAACTTGAAATTACTGTGAAGCACCAAAGAAATACATGTAGTTTTTAAAAAGTGCAGAAATATGAAATCCAATTATTTGGAAAATCTTGCAAATTTATGTTTTTCTCTCTCAAAAAAAGGCTTCAAAACGAAATGTCAAACATTTCTATCTATCTCACAGCCTGTAAACTTATTTTTGTGACTTCACTTGATATCGAAGAGCTCAAGAATTATTTGAAATAGTACGAAATTTGAGTATTGATGAAATCCTGCATTACTATTAAAAAAAATTGTACCTTGCAAATGAATGTATCCACACATTTCACTGATACATTTCGAACATCCGGTGTAGGTGATGTGGAGCTGTCTCTCACTTGCACTGTTAGTGTTCTGAAAAAATGGAATCATTCACACTTCAACCCTACGATCGGAGAGTTTCGTTCCGATTTCTCTGTGTGATAACAACACTCGCCATTCAACCCAAAACAGGTTTTTTTTTTTCGTAGTAAACGTAATCTTTTAGGAGAGTTGCAATGCTAAATACATTCATTTTCATGGATGATTGGCCACTGTTAAGTCACGGTTCATGGTGCGAGGTGTAATCAGAGTTGAGAATTAATTCTATGATAAATTTAGCTAAGTAAGCGATAATTACATCTGCAAAAATTATTAGTCTGATACTGTAACGATCCAAAGCGGAAGCCTTCTGCACAACCCCGATTATTAGATGAATAGAAGCTTTGCAACTTACATCCCATCCATGCGTAAATAGAGCAAAACTACTTGTACTATATAATAAGCTGAGAATAGAATTATTTATTTCTAAAAAAATGAATGGCTGGAAATGTGCACTTACAGAAAAATAATTAAATCGCATCAAAGCTCAAGCATTAACGTTCGATGTTCACCACGGCCGCAAAATACAACGAATTCAGCAAAATTTCATAAGGTCCCGCAATCGTCTTGAAACCAATGATGATCAAGACGCTTGAATTAAATGACAGCTATTTTTTCAGATAGACGCTTTTCTCTCTTCTTTTTTCTGCACTTCTGATTGCAGTCATTTGATGTTCATAATACATGAGTATTACTGCATTATAGCCATACAAATTCAAAACGATGTATTCGCAAGAAACAAACATTAGTTTTCCAGAGTAAAAACATATTTCCATGGATTACGCTCATATAAAGGTAAAGGGAAAATGTCTAAAGATCATTGAATCAAAGATTGCCATTAACTTGTAAATGCTTGCTGTTTCTCCTTCTTAATAATTAAGAAGTCGAAGATTTATTATGTAGTCTTCTTTGTCAAAAAAATGCAGAATACTAAATACATTTTACAAACGCAGAAAGATCTTTCTGAACATACATATGCTATTCATAATTCACCCTATCTTGCAAAATTCAGAGAAGTACTCAAAAACTATTTAAATCCTCGAGCTTTATGATATTCAAAGAAGATAGTGTGTGGACTAACGAATCGAGCGATTGTAGACTAAAAAAAATCATGAGTGGATCATCATGAGTTACAATGCCAGCAATACGGTAATTTGATATTTTCTTTGTAGACTGTATTACACACTGCTACTCAATGTACACGTTTTAGAAATCCGATGGCATAAACAAGATTGAAATTCTAGAGCATACTTTTGGTTTAAAGAACATTGTATTGTAAGAGGCGAAATAGTGAGCATATGGAACGATGTGATGTCGAAAGTACAGAAAAAGCAAGAGAAAAAATTTTAAAAAACTAAAAAAACGAAACGTCTGCTAAAAAAACCTCTCAAGAATTGAGAAGTTTTTTTTAGTAGAAGTTTCGTTTTTTGAGGGTTCTTTACGTTTCTCGTTTAAGGTCAAAGGGGACTTCGTGAAATTTCGCGAAAGTCAAGAGGAACTTCGTTTTTTGCATTTTCCAAAAGCCACTTCGTGTTAAGACTTGTTCATGGAGCAACTTTCGAAAAAACTAAGCTTAAAGCAGTTGTTAAGCTTGAATTCTTGATTCCTATGGATTTTGATGAGAAAAAATGAATGACAGCATGCGAAACAATGAATCAGTGGGTTACAGATCAATATCAATAAATGTGGTTTAACAATCTGTCGAATGCAACATTCTGTTCTCTAATTAAAAGCATTGTATTTTTGACATAGTGGAATGGGAAGATTAACAAAGCTACAGACGTAAAAATTAAAAAATTCTGATTTAAATGTTTTGACTTTATGCCATTCCGAAAGTTCAGACGTTTTTCGATCTGTCATAAACGTACGTGAAATTAATGTATGAGCATTTTGAATACTATTTAACGCAGCTTTTATCCCCTTTTCAGCGTTTATGTTTGGGATCTAACTGTCCTCGGGTCACACATAAACCCTGTAGTTCCTAATACACGAATTTTAAAATTTTCAAATTCCACAATTTTCCAAGATTTTTCGATTTACACTTTTGAGGAGTTTGATAGCACTTGAATACGGCACGCAAACACAATATTTTGAACTTCTCTAACTGGCTTTTCAATATTCTAGAAAATTATTCCAAGAGTTTTCACTCTGGCGAATCGTGTCATAAACAAGCGTATCAAATACCAATAAATCTTCGGAATTCGAAGCATCCGATTATCGATTATGATTCAATATTGAATCACATAGCAAATGAGCTTCACCTCTACAAAATATCATTTTCGAATATCCCGAGTATACAGCGGGTTCAAAAACAAGAATTATGTTGATTTTGATTACAAAGACTTGAAAGCTGCATCGTATGGCACCCGAGTTGCTCGCTCTTTGATCTTCTACGAGGTTTGAGTTGACTAAATATGGAATCCAGTAGCATCAAGAGAAACTTGAAAATTTCTGAAAAGCCGGTTACAAATGCCAAAAATAAATGCATTTCACTTTGCTTATTCTCCATCTTTCAAAGCACTTCCAAAAGTCTGGAATAAAATCTCTATATATATCTAGCAAAAAATCTGTGTGTTTGTGCGTCTGTGCACATTTCTTATAGACTTGAAGGATAAGCGGTAAAGCTCATTTTGATCTGCTGATCAGCAAAATATGAAAAGAACGGTAGGAAGCAAACCCGACTAGTCGGAATCGGAGAAGAGTGAATTTCACTACATGAGAGATCAAGCACGATCGACTGGTTCCAGAACGGGGTGGAACCGGGGATGCCAGCTCGTTTTCTATAATTTTGATGAAGTCGAATATGAAAAGCCATAGGTTCGAAACTTTGGCATTATTTTAAGGACCTCAGGAACAACTTACTACAACAACTCAGTTCCAAAATTTACATATCTGTTGCAAAGAGGAAGAAAAGCTGTGTCGAATTTGTGAAGCACTTGACTGTCCTCGTCTCAGATATTCTTACAAAAGGTCCAAAAAATGGCACGAACTTTTGAAGCGTCCTGATATTTGCACGAATCTCAACACGGTCGCAAGTTTTTCGCAGGAAAAGACTACTTTTAAAACGCGAATAACTTGGTTTAGTTCAAATGTAGACCAGTGAATGTTACAAATTTGAAATTAAACCGTCTAAGAGAACCTCAGTGGAACGCTTCGTAGACAAGATATTTCCCAGCTACATTTCATCTTGAAAAATCATGAAAGCAGCACTGATAAAGCATTCCCATTTTGCTAGCTCTACACATTTCCTATGCATTTCCTATGCATTTCCTACTTACTGTTTACTACTAGCATATATGACTTCCAATTAGATGTCTTTCAGATATAATACGCGTAATCTACGAAGGAACGGACTGAGTCAGACAAAAACAATCACGCTACAAGCACCTGTATGTCTACGCCGTTATGGCTCAAAGCCTAGTTACACAACACTATTGCTTTGAGAAGACTGGCTTAGTGTATGGGAAGGACATGGAACCGGAAGTGGTTCCACATTGAAGCGATAAAAAATGGGGAATTGGCGGAAAGGGGGGGGGGAAGAACTGAATTTAGTCGAAATTTCGATATAATCGATGCAGAGCTTACATAGAATGTAAAATTTATTTTAAAATGATATTTTCTTCACTTCTATGAGAAAAACGAATTTCCTAAAACTTTGTTTCCGAATTTTTATATCTATATTTTAACTGCTATTTCCCTCGCTAATCTTACATCAGCAGCTTACATTTCGAAAACAATGACATATGATTGTGCTTTGAATTCTATTCGCCTACTTGCCAGAAAAATCTGTAGATGTGCAAATGTTAATTATACTGAATGACAGGAAAAGAAAACCTGAAAAAACCTTTCTAATAGGCCTTGAAGTTACGAAGAAATCAAATAGAGAGAAGTTCAAATAGAGGGAGAATCAAATAGAGAGAAAAGGAAAAATTGCAACGTATATTAAACGAATTAACTGCAAAATCTGAAACCAATTTCGAGGGAAAAAATTCCAACAAATACAAGGAATAGATACAGGACGCTTAGAAAAAATGGGAACGAGTCCCCGAGAGCTAACTAAATTCCAAACGATGTGGAATATGACGGCAATCATTTTGGAACATATGGAATGAATCAGAGCAGAAAGAGGAAATTATTGGAATTTTCCGAAAACATGACCTTACTCGCGCGATTTTTGCGCGCAGACCAATGTTTCAAAGAGCGTCAAAAAACTAGTTTTGGGCCAGAAATTCCTTCATTAGTGCTACGCGGACGTGGCCCAGCTATTATAATAGCTATTTTTAACCGGATTCGATGACCCATGAACTTTTAATGGACAAAAAGCGCAATTTGACAAGCATTGAATTGCGAGAGGATATTCATGACAATTTCACAACCTGGTCTGGTTAATCGATCCACTAAGCCGATTATATGCGAGGTGGCTAGTTCAATTATATGTGTATAAATGCACAATTATCACAAATTTTACCTCTTTTCCCCGGTCCGGAAGTTTGTGAACTCTTTTGGCGCATAGGTGACGTCAATCGTGGCTGCGACGGCGGTGACGTGAAGTGAAAAAACAACAACAAATAATATCGTTCGAACAGACATAGCCTCCGTGTACGGATCGGCGCAGTCGATGGATCGCGAAGACCCGAGCCCCGGCGACGACGAATGCGACAGCGATTGAGGGTCGCCCCGCCCTGTTGTGTCTCGTCGCGCCCCGGTGTGTGTTTAGTGATCGCCACGCGCCCCTCGACCAAGTTTATCAAATTCGAGTGTTAAAGTCGTCGAGCACCCTGCATCGAGGCAGCCCCTGTTTGGGAATTTGCTAGAGAAAGCATTACAGCATTTGGGAGCAGACATCAGCGGCATACATCTTGTCTAGTCAAGAGGGTAAACCCGTTTTGGCCCCGCGTTTGAAATCAAGCAGTTCCGCCGGCTGACTTGTTCCGCGACTAATGGTGGTAATTCAGATTAATCCAGATTACAATTTTTCCTTTATAGAACAGTACAATGTGAAACTCCAACAATAACTTAAGCAAATTTTCACATGAAACGTGTTGAAAGGATCTAAATCCTGTCATTTTCACTTCTGCGGTTCTGTTTTTGGGACGAGTGGCGTAGTGGTGCGAGGCGCCTTTATGACCGGTCGGAGTAGGGTTCGATCTTGTCTGTGACCCAACCAAGCCTTGTCCTCAGAGTGCGGTAAGGCGGGATTTCTGGTAGTAATTTCTGTACCTCCCACCTCATCATTTGTGGCAGAAACCTGAACATTTTTGCTGGTTGTCAACGAACTTAAAACAGGAATGGTAGGCTGATTTCAGACTTGGAAATATACGCCGTCTGCCGTGGTGGCAAAAAAATTTTTTTTTGCTCTAGTAGGGCGCTACAAAACTTTTCGGAGTAAGACAGCTGTTCTAGTTATTTCCAACAGTTTTTTGAAATGTTTTCCAAATGGAAAAGTTATAATCGTGTAATAAGTAAAATAGATGTTTAGGTTAACCTCCACAATAAGCCTTTTCTACGGAGATCTTGATCTTGTAAAATTCAAATTCTTCTTGTTAGCGATTATGAAAAGTCTCTCATTTCTATACGAGTTTTGAATTGGAAATACTAATGTGTACGGCTGTGGTAAGTGCACACGAAGTTACAGTATTGTTGCCATCTACAAAATCGAAGAAACCGTTTGTTCTTTCCACTAAAAATTTCAAGTAAAACTTTTGTTTCCGACTGTATGTTACGTCGAGTTAGGGAAGTCAAAAGTGCAAGATTTTTAGACAAGATTTTTTTATGACGGTTAGAATGTATTTGCTAATCATTTGATATTAATCTCTTTTTGACCTATGCTCTGGAAAATGCGGTTTTTTATCCGGCCACAGACTGTCAATTGATTGATCAATTGATTGATTCACCCGCTGCATTTGACAATTGTTCCAATAGTTTGGCTGCTTTGAATTTTGCTATGTGGTCACTTGACATTTTGATATTTCACATGACTAAACGTTTTTCTGTGCAGCAGCATCTCACGACTAGAATAATAAAAAAATATCTTTGAAAATGGTGCGGCATCCTTCAAAATTATATGCATGACATTGCGCATAAAACTGCAGTTCAAGCACCTTTTACGCTCCCAGTTACTCGCAAGTCCATGGTAATCTATATGTGTCAACATTCTCGGCTACCTTTTTGCCTGTACTTAAATGAAATAATTTCAAAAAGAGATTTAGAGAAGCTATTCTCAAGAGCGTTGCTAAAATCACTCTCTCTTCCTTTTTTTGCAAAAAGGACTACAATGAGGCTTATAAAATCCTGGAGATATGGGGAAACTCAATCTGTAGCTATTTTTCTCTTTTTCCCTAAGAAAAAACTTTTGCGAACGCCACTGCTACGGTCCTAAAAAATGTGAAGTCTATAACAAGCTAATGGGGTATGCCAAGTTGCAAAATGACGGAACAAACAACCCCCTTCTGTACAACCACTGTATACTGATAAATAGGGATAGCAAAGTAACATAAGATCTTGGTTTTCAAACACTGTGCAACCGGAGAAAAGCAACGTTAATTCCAATGTAAGAAATTCATAACCAGCAAGCCTTTAGCCCCTTCAGGAAACCATTGAGTTGAGAAAAAAAATGTTGTTTTTCATAGCAAGGTAATAAGAAGAATTCAAAAAAAAAACATGTAGTGGGGAATCATTCGTTAGAGCAAAGAAAATCCTACAAGATGAACGTTGAACATTGGTGAATACGCAAAGCCTGAAGCCAAAGCAAGCAACTCATGCGGACAAAAAGATTTTTGCCCACTTGTTACAGGTATACTTGCTGTTTTTTTCCGTGGTTGGAAATCGAAGAAGAAATGAAAACGGAAAATGGCAAGTTCCGCCCCCAATGTTTCTGGGCTCCTTCTTTGTATGCATTTGTGTACTACAAACCTTCAAAATTTCGGCCATAAAATTTTGGCTTTGGATATGCTCTAGTCCTTAAAAAATACCGAGTCTTAGACGAAAAGTTTTAGTCGACAAAACCCGAAAAACGACATTCTTTCTTTCAACCCAATACTTACTGTGTACCACAGCTTTTGAAGCTTTGGCGGGAAAATGAAGGCTTTCTACCTTTCTTGATTATACATGGTCAGTTGTTTGTAACAATTTCTAAAATTATGATGCTTGTAACTGCGAACATTGGTATGTTTTTGTTTATTAATGTAATTTACTTCATCTTGCTCATATTGCATTCAAATACACCATGACATGTTCTAAAAAAGCAAAATCACGAGCAACTTTTTAGAATGTTATAAAACAACTCCCCATTGAATCGGTCATACCCGGACTGTGCGAACTCCTCTCTGTCTCATTAACACGGCAATTACTGCTCAACTGCTGATAAAGATGTTGCAGTAATGCAGTCAAAAAAAATACTGCCAGTTTGTTGCTATACATTTCCTGGGTGAGTTGAGTTTTCTGGATTTTAAGACATGTTTTTTCAAAAGTAGTCAACGGCGAAACGTTAAAGGCAGTGTCCCGGCAGATTCGCGCCCTGGGGGATATATTGCTACGGTGGGGTTCCTGATCATCCCAATAACCTTCAGGCGCAGTCCGGCTGGTTGATGTTCCCCCTGGGCCGAGAAAATAGCCCTTGAGCCGGCGCATGCAACCCCAATCGGCGCGCGCTCGGACTACTATGTTTACCGTTCGGCGTGGGACCCCACAACCGCTCTCCGCATTGTGTATGCTATCCAAAACAAAAATCACAGACAGCAGAGTCTTCGTGTCGCCTCGCAATTTCCAGAATTCTCGTCCAAACTGCCTTATGGAAATTGGGTAAACGCCCCGAAAAAGGTCTTTCCCCCGTTTCAAAGCTCGAGGCCGAATACATGCAAAAAGATGGATGCAAAATCTGGCGGGACACTGCCTTTGATGTGTTCTTATTATTGTTGCGCGTGTTGGTTTTACTTGGGAGTTTCTTGCTACTCCCCAACGAAATCATAGTTACAACAACAGCATTTCTATTTGACGCATTACTAAATCTGTTAAATCGCATTTCCATCCGCTGTTCGAGTATTTATATTGGGTTGATGCAAAAAATGGTTTTTTTTTCTAAATTATCGACGTGCTATATGAAAATTTACACTTCTGAATGCAAAAAAAATATCAGAAGTAGTAAACCTTTTGCAATGAGTGCACATTCATCTATACTCAAATCACAAACGGGAGAAAATATGGATTGAAGTTTCCTCACAGTTTGTTAGTATATTCGGTTAGTTGTCCATTCTGCAGCCGCAAGTCCGTAGAACTAGAAAGATAAAGCGGACTTAGCAAAGGAGTTTCGCGAGAAGAAAAAATTCAACTCTTGAATTGTCAGTTTTTCAGCATTTTTTGGCATTTTCTGTGGCGTTAGCCTCAAAGCCCCGAATTATAGAAATTCTAACTGTGAATAGAATGCCCTACCCTTACGCCTACAGAAATGCGCAAAGCTTTGGCGATTTCCTTTTTCAAAAGAGATCTATGGATTTTATGGATTATAGAATGACCGCAACAGCTACCCATGTTGAGGCGCCGAATATCTCAATCTAGATAATTTCAAAAGATACTTAAGTGCGCATCATGTAGACAACCACGGATATAATGCCTCGTAGAGGGATCCTAGTCGCGAGGCTACGTGGGTCTGTCCGAGGTGGTAGACAGGGGGGCTAATCGCCAACCAAAAGCGACCCTGCGCCTGCTCTGATAAGCAAGAGGAGCCGGAGGACGGACTCTTACTTCCACTAAAAGCTTTAATCCTCATTTTCTTGGGTAATGTGTGAAGAGATAGGTCCGGAGTCCTCCAACAAATAAGCTCCGAGTGCCTTCCGCCTGATTTTGAGCCCAACAAGCTACCCGTGCGAGTAAAACGATTGCGCGACACATGAAAATATAGAAAGCTCTTTTTATTTTGAAAAAAAGGCATTGGTAAGGCAGCGCCAGTACAAGGTTTCGGAAGACGATCTAGGCTGCTGAAAACTAGAAGGACAGTGATGGCGATCTGTACCTACAACGCAAAGACGCTGGCATTAGAGGCATTTATCGAAGACCTCATGATGCAATCAAGGAAGATCAAGTACCATCAGACTGATCGAGGCAAGAAGACACCACCCGCCAAATGTTACCTTCGAGACTGGAGAAGAACTGACTGCTTTCAGGATCATGCGACAGCAGAGAAATTGGCGGTGTTGGAGTTCTCGTCAACACGAGCTTGGCCACGAGTATCGATTCCCTCGAACAACTAACAAACCGAGTCGGAAGTCAACGAATATCAAGATGTGGACCAATTTCGACTTTGACCGTCTTCATAGTGTAGCTTCAACATCAAGCTACGTTAAGGACGAGCTCGAGGTTTTTTACATGGAGTTTGAGAGGTTCTACAGAGCGAACCACATCTTCTACAAAATCGTGGTCGGTGAATTCAACGTGGAAATCGGAGCAAGAAGGTCGCCTGCAGAACTTCACGTCGGGACCCATAGACTACAGGGAAAAACAAGGAAAAGACTGCTTGAGTTCATTTTGACGACGAGACCACCCATGGAAACCGAAGTTTCAAAAGCCCCGTTCCTGACGCTAGACCGGTGAAGCGTACAACAAAAGTATGACTCATCGTTGTCAGCAGAGGGTATTGCCTAAAGTATGTC